CATATTACATGGTCTGATAGAAAACCAAAAATTGGCATCCCTACTCATCGACAACTTAATTTACAACAAATTTTTTACATTTACTTAGGATTTGCAACCCTGTTACCTGTTCTCGCATATCATTATGTTATTAAAACCTTTAATGTAGGATTTCAATTTATTATTTTATTTATTTTATTATTTTAGCGATCATTGTTTTGTTTTTTTACATTTATAAAAAGTTTATTTGTAGAAAAAAAAACTAAATCACACTAATCAGGGTTTTAAACTTCCGACCGTGTGTGTGTGTGAGTGTGTGTCTGTCTGTGTGTGTGTGTGTGTGTGTGTGTGTGCACGCATGCGCATGTGTGTGCGCGTGTGTGTCTGTCTGTGTGTGTGTGTGCGCATGCGCATGTGTGTGCGCGTGTGTGTCTGTCTGTGTGTGTGTGTGTGTGTGTGCGCATGTGTGAAAATGAGCCTATTTTCAAAAATAGTGGAGTGTTCCTTTAACACTGAAAAACAGTATTTTCTGAAGGTTAAACATTTTCTTTATTGATACTTTATTTTTTGAAGAGTTTTAGGTTTAGTACTCCATTTTTATTGGCACACTGGAGAAAAAAAATGGAAAATGGACTTGACATGATGTAATCCAATAATTTTATGAGTATTTAACCCTAGAACACAACACAATTCAGTGCAATTCTAAAAAATCAATACTAAAAATTCCTTTAACACAGTACATTGTTCCCTATATTTACGGATTCTTAACTGGCCACATGTAAAATTTTGGCACATTTTATCACTGAGAAGCGAGAAAACCTGTCAGGCTGATGCTGTTGATGTTTCAGGGTGACTCTGGCGGGCCGCTGGTGTGTCGCGTCCGTGAGCGTGTGTTTCTGTTCGGTGTGGTGAGCTGGGGAGAGGGATGTTCTAGACCCTTCCGTCCTGGAGTTTATGCCAAAGTCAGCAACTACCACCGCTGGATCCTGGAGAAAACCGGCCTGTCGTCGCTCAGCTGAGAACAGGAGCACACCTGCCCTCAGAGACCAACATACAGAACATGAGCGAGTCGTGTTCAAACTGACTTCTGTTCAGTTACTCCTTAATATGTCCATCATTCTTACATTCCATTCTGTTGCCAAGAGATATAATAGCAGCTCAAAAGACTTTCTGTGTGAAAAATGTTTATAAAATTATTGTTTTGCATGGGTATTGAAATGTACAGTGCCATTTTCTTTTTGTTCCTGTTTTTATATTGTTGTATAATTTTATATTGTTGTGTAACTATTTATGTCAATGATAAATGCCAATTATTAGGCCAATAAACAAATACTGTTTTTAACTGTACGCATTCTGAGTAAATATCGTGTACAATAAGTGTTTATTACTTCTTGCAAAATTTCATATTCACTGCAGTAAATTCTCTCATCAAAATCCTTTCTTTATTATTTAAAAAAAAAAAAAGAGGTTCAACAGTATATCCGACTATTTCATCTTCCAAGAATCTTAAAGCTCTTAAAACTTATTTCACTTATTTCACTTTTTAAATTTATTTTATTAAAAATTTAGTTTTGTATTATTTATTTATTGTTATATACATGTATAAATGGCGCTTTGCTTGTAGTGTTATTAAAAAAACAAAATATCACTAATGCAACACTGAACAATATTATAATATAATCTGTAATAATGATCATAATTATTAGAATGTTTGATTTTACACTTTAAAAAAAAAAAGGTCAAAACATGTCATTGGGACGGTACCCTTTTAAAAGTAACTAATATGTACCTCTAAGATACTAATATGCACTATTTGGGGGTAAAAAAAATGGAAACAAATATGAACATTTTAGCTTTTGTACCTTAGGGTCCTGACTCCCGCCCCAGTGAGTGACAGCTTTGTAGCCATTTTTCTGAGAGCGTATCTTTCGCCTCTAAAGTTTCTTATTCAGCCACTAGATGGCAGACTATGTAAAGACACTGAAGTACACTGATACTGTCAACACTTCATCTCGCGCACTCTGCATACTTCATCCTGCAGATGACATTAGTATGAAGACTGGTTTGTGTGCTCAAGGTAACTGTAACTTCTGGATTTTGGTGTATAAAATTAAATCACCGACCAATGCTAAAAATATCAACGCATACTAAACTGTGGAAATAACAGAATGTGTGACATAAAGTCTAAAAATAGACTGTTTCATAGAACCATGCCTAATATGATATAACCCAAGTTTTATTGGCAAACTTACACTACACAAGGAATTTGACTGTTTGGATTGCTGCAGAAAAAATCAACATGCCAAATCAATTACTTCAGATCTAATATAAGTAACTTATGAACTAATATGAGTAATAATAACTAATAAAACATTCTGAAAATGTGAAAAACGCAATAGTTCACCCAATTCCGTATGGATTTAATCCTTTAATTCTTGGGTAGCATTAATGACTTGATTTAATGACAGACAAATTTTTAATCAGGGGTTTCTGTACTGTAAAAATGTTTAGTCATGTAATCTAAACCAAATAGTGCTTCATGTAGTAGCAACATAAATAAACTGGTTCAAACACGTTGCTGATACAATATGACAACATCACCATCATGAGTGTCACTTTATAGGTCAGATCAAAGATGTTTTATATTGAGGTGAGCAGCATGAACACACACACAGACAGACACACACACACACAGACACACACACACACGCACACATGCTTGTGTTTACACTGAGCTCCCTGAACGAACTTCCTTAATTCTTTCTTTTCAGACTCTTCCATATTCGGTCATGCAGCCTGTTGAGGGTCTCTGGGCAAATTCTTGGGCTGTCTGAGGCATCTGATGGGTTGAAACAGCTTGAGATCCTGTTAATGTTATTTCAGTGATCAGATAGTGATCAGATGAAGGCTACAACCTGCTCTTATGATTATGAATCTGGAATGTGCAACATGAACAAAACGAACAACAATTAAATAAAGATACATTTGTTTTCATCCACCTATAACTTGTCATATGCATTAATGTGTTTAATTCATGTTAAAACTTTAAAGCAGTAGCTGTCCCAGTACAACTGTTAATGCCACGACAAACAAAAATATAAAGAATATATATAGCAAAAAATCTACATCATTTTATAATTATAGTTATATTTTACACTGTTTTTATCAGATTCATCAGTTAATAAATAGGCCTATGTATTATTTTTTTGGCTTATGAAACCATACACATTGTAAATTAATTAAATATATTGTTTCATTATTGTATGTATAATGATGAAAAAAAAATAAAGATGAAAATAGATCCTCACAAGGCCTCAAACAGATCCTAAACAGTGCTGAGCAATATTCAGACCTAGGAGCCCGCTTTGGTGGCCCCTGGCACTCAGAATTCCTCATCCAGAACAGTAGAGTCAAGTTTCCTTTTTAGGGCATGAGAATGTATTACGTAATTTGGGAATAACGCTACAAAGGTTATGGGCGGAGCCAATCAGGAAGAATGACGTTTGCGCGAACCAATCGCATTCACGGGCGCGCCGGCGCTTGCTTTCTGGTTGGTGGACGGAGAGTTTGCGTCATCCGGGAGGTTTAGGTTGAGTGTAATGTGGGAAGCCGCGAGTCGATTCTTTCGAACGGTTCATTTCAACGAGTCAGTTCAAAGAAAGAATTCGTCATCACGTACTCCTAGAGGTTTGAACAGGTTTTAAATAAATGTGTATGTAGATAAACAGAGTTCATTGACAAAAATGTTACAGTCAATAGCTGCCATAGCGATTAATAGCAAAGCATTTAGTGGCCTATGTAATGAATCAAATTCTAGACAATTAAATAGGCTACTATTTACGTTTTGTTATATGTGACCATGGACCACAAAACCAGTCATAAGGGTCCATTTTTTTAAAATTGAAATGTATACATCATCTGAGACCTGAATAAATAAGCTTTAATTTTAAGTTTAAAATTAAAACTTAATTTTAAAACTTAAAATTTAAACTTTAATTTTAAAGTAAAAAATTAAGTTTTGATATTTTTACAGTAGGAAATTTACAGAATATCTTCACGGAACATGATCTTTACTTAATACCCAAATGATTTTTGGCATAAAAGAAAAAACGATCATTTTGACCCATACAATGTATTGTTGGCTATTGCTACAAATATACCCCAGCGACTTAACACTGCTTTTGTGCTCCACACACACACACACATATGCATACAGGTGCATCTCAATAAATTAGAATGTCGTGGAAAAGTTCATTTATTTCAGTAATTCAACTCAAATTGTGAAACTCGTGTATTAAATAAATTCAGTGCACACAGACTGAAGTAGTTTAAGTCTTTGGTTCTTTTAATTGTGATGATTTTGGCTCACATTTAACAAAAACCCACCAACTCACTATCTCAACAAATTAGAATACTCCATAAGACCAATAAAAAAAAATTTTTTAGTGAATTGTTGGCCTTCTGAAAAGTATGTTCATTTACTGTACATGTACTCAATAACTTGGTAGGGTCTCCTTCTGCTTTAATTACTGCCTCAACTGTATTGCTACGTGTACTGCGTTAGGCTAACCGAGACTTGTCATAGCACTTGCATATTATTGCTCTTTTGTTGGTTTTGATTGCTTCTATTGGCATCATTTGTAAGTCGCTTTGGATAAAAGTATGCCTGCTAGAATGGTAGGCCTATAGCTTTTCATAGTAAACCTAATACTTTAACTAGCCTACTGTGCTTTGGTAATATTGCAAATGCTGACTCTAGAATCTAATGAATAGTTTCTAGTGACATTAAAAAATATAATATTACAGTTGGATTATTTACTATTTAAAATTACTGGTAACAAAACAAACACACACACACACACACACACACAATATTTTAGTTTTAGTGAATAAATGTCAAACATGTTGGCAAATTCAGTAAGTTGTTGACTCGTGAATCGCGATGCGCTAAAGAATCGTTTTGCGAACTGGAAAGAACCGACTCCAACGAACGATTCTTTCGCTAGACGAGTCGCTTCCCACGATAGTTAGTTTAGTTGCATGAAGGAGAGTCAGTGTGTTCTTGAGGGGGATAGTCTCGGTGCTCGGATACGGAGAGGGGAGTCTGGATACACACTTGGAAAGAGAGTTTGCGTTCTCTTAAGTGCTCATCATGCCGGTTTTTCACACGAAGACGATAGAGAGTATCCTGGAGCCGGTGGCCCAGCAGATCTCTCATCTGGTCATCATGCATGAGGAGGGAGAGGTGGACGGGAAAGCCATCCCGGATCTCACCGCTCCTGTGGCCGCTGTGCAGGCAGCTGTCAGCAACCTGGTCCGGGTAAGAGCTCGGGCTTTTTACTCTCATTTCTAAGCGCGAATGCACATGTAAAGCTCTCAGGGTGGATGTAAAGTATCGTTGTTTGATGTTAATGTATCCGCGGAAGTTTCCTGAAGTTCTCTGGCTTTGATCCAAACCGAGTTCCGCCTTTTCCTCTTGGATTTCGCCCTGCCCCCTGAAACACCGCTGCGCCACGACATGCCATTCAATGCATCCGATATAACAGAAACAAAACCTTCAGAAGCCTGTAAATTCATCAACACACTGCTGCTCTTCAGTTATTTTTAGCAGCTGTCCAGAGTTAACTTTAGACTCCTGAAATAACACGGACAGTGGTTTTTGTTCCTTTGAATCTGACTTGAGTCTGTGTCACAGTAACATAATATCTACTAAAGCCAACCCTCTACATTGTGAGTAAATCACTCGCATATGCGACTAAATCTTCACTCCATGAGTTGTTTAGGCATCTAAAGGTGTCTCAATCTGACTGCAAGTGTAAATTTGACCCCACCCTGTCTAACACTTCCTGTCTGTGCAGCTTTAGAGGATGTTGTTTTCTCAGATATTTCACGCCGCTGCGGTTTCAAATGTCACTCGTCTTCGTCTCAGGTTAATCTGAGATTTTCTGAGCGCTTTACAGCATGAGGCTCAATATAGTACGATATAAAAGCTTTATTCCTCCCACCCTCGTGTTTGAACGCTTCCTGTCTTATTTCTGTTTTCTCTCTTGTATATTTCTCATCTTCCTTCCTCTTTACTTTATTCTTCCTCTATTTATTTATGTGTAATTTCATTTTATTTGTTAGTGGTGTTTAGTGTAGTTGAGATGGGATATCAGAGCTCAGAGTGCTTCATAGAACTTATGTTTTGATCCTGAATGAACTCTAGTGAATTATTCACAGAATGACAGAATGCAGAGAGACTCCTCAGACAGAGCTTTTTCTGTGAAATGAGAACATTATCAGTCTTAAAGAATGACATGAGGCTGCTAATTAAACTGAATAAAAAATAAACATCAGTATTAATTTTTAACAGCCAACCATAATAAAATAAAAATGTATACATAGTACAAAGTAATTGTTAACAAATATTAATTTAAAATATTAATAATATTATTTCAAATAAAAGTAAATATATAATATTAATAATTTTAAATATTAGAATATTAATTAATATGCAATTAAAATCTGCAATTATATTTACAAACATAACATTAATTATTTTTAACCATGTAAGTACAATAATAAAAATAAAAATGTAAACATATATAATAAAACGTAATTGTTTAAAAACATTATTTTAAAATAATGTTTTTAAACAATTACGTTTTATTATATATGTTTACATTTTTATTTTTATTATTGTACTTACATGGTTAAAAATAATTAAAGTTATATTTGTAAATATAATTGCAAAATATTTATAAAATATATATTTTATAAATATTTTGCAATTATATTTACAAATATTACATAATGAATTCATTTCCTTTTATCCATCGGAGTACAATAATAAATAAAAATTCATACGTATAATAAAATGTAATTGTTTAAAAACATTCATTTCAAATACTTATATTATTTAAAATAATTTAAAAATAGAATTATTTAAAAAGTAATGATACAGTATTAAATTTTTTTAAATATTGATTTTGCAATAATACTTACAAATATTACATTAATTCTAAGTTAATTTCTTTTCACCCATCTGAGTAGAATAATCAAATCTGTACAATTAATAAAATCTAATTGTTTAAAAACATGAATTTAAAATAGAATATTATTAATCAAATAGTTTAAAAGTAATTATACATTTATTAAATTTTTAAAATATATATTTTGCAATTATATTTTTATTAATTATGAATGAATTTCTCTTGCGTTGCCATCTCTAGCTTCTTCGATCTTTTGATCTTGAAGTCAGAAATCAGTTAGTTTAGGATGCCTCCCATGTCACAGATCTAAAAAGGATGTTCTCACATTGTTGTTTTGTATGTTTTGCGTAACAGCACATATTCTGTGGTCAGTGCTGGGAATGTGCGGCTCCGTGTCTGCTTTAGGATCTCTGTCTTGAGTTGTTAGAGGCTGAAGGGTCAGACGCTGGCTGAACATTTCTCAAGACCACACGGACCAAACCTCCTCTCTACACTACAAGAGAAGCGTTTGTTATCAGAAGTGAGAGAGATGCGGCTGGATTAGGCAACACTACTGCTGCCGAAGGTCATGAACTCCTTCACTTCTTATTTTAGGAGATTTCTTTTAGAAGAAAGCATTTTATACAGGCACCAAAGGAGAAGGGCGTTGTGTTTATTTACCTTGTTCCAGCTCTAAAAACATGGCCATCCAGATGGAAGATCAGCGGTTTAATCACAGTGGAGATCTTCGACTTGATTCTCTTTCTAGAAAGCTTCTGCAGGAAGTTGCTTTAGACTGAGATGTGATCTTTCACAGCATCAGCTCAAGCACACGACTTACACGACTCTTACCTTAAACAGAAGCTGCATTCATCAACGCACATGAAAGATACCACAAATCAGTTTTTTTGATTATTAAAATTTGATTCAATCTTTAAAAGAGAATCCAGAAAAATTAAAGCAGAGAAAATTTCTTTTGGGAAAGAAATTCCATTGATTTCATAGGTCCCTAAAAATGTAATTTTTGTTGAACTTTGAATCAGTTGCTGTTAAATAGTATACGTTTCATGACTTTAGTCAATTGAACAAGTGTTTTGATTAATACAATTTATTTTCAGACAGAATAAAAAAATAAAAAGAGAATCCAGAAAAATTTTAATTCTAAATAAAGAAATAAACCTCAAAACAAACAGAATTTGGGGGGAAAAAGTAAATAAAATTTGATTAAAATTTTTTTTATTTCATAGTGCCCTATAAATTACATTTTTGTTAAACTTAATAAATTGTATAAATTTTAAAAATAAGATAAAAATAAAATAAGTTTAAATTAATTAGACATGCCTTTTGATTTCTAAAACTTAATTTAATTTAAAACAGAATCCTGAAAAATTAAAATGGAAAAAAAAAAAAATTGGGGGAAAAAAGTTAACGGAATTTGTGGAAAAAATCAAGTGGATTTCACAGGCTCTAAAATGTAATTTTTGTTAAACTTTTAATCAATTGTTGTTAGATTGCATAAGTTTTAATAAATTAGACGTGTTTTTTGATTAATAAAATGTAATTTAACTGTTAAAACAGAATCCAGAAAAATTAAAATGGGGGGGGGGGGGGGG